AAAAAAAAAAAAAACCAAAACTTTAACAAAAGAAAACAAGTAAAAAGGGAAAGACTTGTTATAAGGGTCGATGAGATATACATAATAATGATCATAAATGCATGGCTAGTCCATCCAACGACCGAGTCAAAGCAGGTAGTTATTATTAGAGTGATGAAACTGACGAGACGAGCACACGAGGCTTAAAAACAATATCAGTACTGATCCTCTTAATCAATGCACCACCACACCATCATTATGTTGTTTATTCTTTTGGAAGACGACTATCATTATATCTTCCTTCATAAAAGCTCACCTCACGAGTTTAACCGCATCATAATTTTGCATCTGTACTTTGACCCACCCACCTATAATCGTAACTGCCCCTACTTTCTTATTATTATTATCATTTCATAACATCATATTAGGTTAAGCCATTTTCATGCAAAGGAAATAAAGGAAAAAATAAAATAAAATAAAATTCTGACAACTTTTAGCTTTAAAAAGAAAACTAGCACTCTCTATAAATTTTTATATAAAATCTGCCAAAGATTCTTTACGTGCGTGCGTGCACAAGCGCAACAAGTGACGAACCACTAAAGCAAAACCCTATGAGCATCAAGAGTGCGATAGATATATAATTGTATGCACAAATACACACACATGCCAGGATGCCAGGATGCCAGGATGCCAGGCCCAGAAGAATTAGATACAAACGATAAATATAATTTATGAAAAGGACATTACCTAGAGAAATATAGTACACAACATATTTAAATCCCAACCACCAAGAAAATAATTAATGAATGGCCAATTCTAAGTCCATGAGTCCATGAGTCCATGACCCTAGCTAGCTATACAGCATTATAGCACGCATATAGACATAGACACACACATTACCTGGCCCTACGATTTTGAAACCACACCTCAACTTGCCGTGGCCTCAGCTTCAACTGCATCGCCAACGCCTCTTTCTGTTTCTGCAAAACACCAACAGTGCTCCAGAAGGGTCTCCATTAATTATTGAACAATATTTTATACATGTATTTGCTTAATTAATCCTATAAACACAGCCTAGCTACCTACTTACAGGGTTTAAGGTGTGGTGTTGTCGGAAGCTCTCTTCCAGAAGACGAGACTGTTCCTTTGTGAGACGAAGCTTCTTCCGCGGAGGGCCTGATCCATTACTGCTGTCTTCTTCGTCTTCCAT